TGCCGTTCGGTCGACCCATGGTCGCGAAACACATGGGTTGAACTCCTCTTCACCTAACGCACCTTGTCTAGCCATGGGTCAACCCAAATCTCGCCTAGAACTTGATGAATTAATGTTGCAGTTTCAAGCTCTTGTGCGAAAAATTTTGCCCAAGTTTGGCTCCGCAACTGGGGGGAGGTGAGGAGAAACGAGTGATGCTGGGATTTGGTGTTCTAGGTGGTGGGTGTTGGTCGGTTTGTGAGGTAGAAGATGGCGGTGTTGGCTGGATAAGGGAAAATGAATGGAAAAGAAACATGTTTTGGATTTTCAAGTTTTAAGAAACATTTTTTCAAAATGACAAAAAGAATGTGTTTCAACAATTTCAAAACAGTTACTCAAAACACAAAACCCAAAATGAATTCAAAACTAAAAACTAAAAACTCAAACACGAAGAGAACAACCCCTTAGTGATTGGGTTAAATTTGGTAGGTTGGATGGAAGTGGGGTAGGGTGAAATATTTTATAATATTAATATTAATAATTGAATTATTATCTGATTTATGAATAAGTAAATCTTTTATCGCATTTTTGAATTACAATTTTTAAAAATCTGCCTTGGTGTAATTTTTTCTCTTGCTAATTACTTGAATTGTTACATGGGCTTGGTCTAGCCCATGACGAAATTAAAAGCCCAATCTACTAATATAATGTATTGTAGGTCAAAATTGGTGGAGATATACATACAAAGGGAAAAACGTGGTTGCACGATTGAAAAATTGCAAAACAGTTGCTGCTGGACAGAGACAAAAAACATGGCTATCGGAAGGGAAAAGGATTTTTATTTATTTTTTTCAATCTTCAGACAGGTTTTTTCTTCTCTACATAGTATAAATTGAGAATTTCTCTAAGTGAATTTTTTTGGATACTTTAGTTGGGTGAGGTATTCAAAATGGTTTTTTCACAAGTTTCATCAAACTAGAGGTTTGTGAGTGAGATTATTGTTCTCTTAGAGTTTGATCATGGTTGTATTTTCTCAATTTGTTGAGAACTCAAGTTTTGAGCATAAACTCGAGTATTGTAAACTATTTTATTATAGTGGATTTGATTGTCTTGTGATTTCCCCCCCTCTACATTGGAGGTTTTTTTTACGTAAATTTGTGTGTTCTTTTTTTATTGCTCTCTTGGTATTTAATTAGTTGCTTGTTTTGATTGTAATTGTAAATTTGCTCTTGCTTGAATAACCTTCGAAGCATAGAATTGTAGTTAGATAACAAGTATCGTCTTTGAAGACGTTAAGAAAAAAATTACTTGATGTTTATTTGTAAAATCTCGTGTAGAATATTTTGTTTGCTATTAGCATGAGGTGCTAGTCAATAATTTAATAAACTTGTAATTTTCCGATAATTTTTGATTTAGAATTGTTACGAGGTGTAATTAATTTGAACTTTTAAATTTTTTTTAGAAACTTTCCAAGTGATCGAATTTTGTAGATTTAGTCCATGTTTAGTGTCGCTTAAAAAGTTGATAAAAATCAAAATCAAAATCAACAATTAATTTTAATCACATATTTCATTGGATCCACAATTTTTATTATTTTTTCAACAACAAATTTAATTAACTTTTACCAAAATTTACTAAAAATCTTATTTTTAGCTACATCAACATATGGCTTGATGAACTTTTACGAAATCATCGAAAGTCTTTCATAGGCTTCTATAAATTTTCATTTAAAGACTTTATAGATTTTTATAGAATCGATTTGACTTTTTAAGACTTTCTTGATTTTACTACACATAATTATTTTATTGAATTATGTAGGTATGCATTATGTTATCATAATATTCTCAATCGCTATGTGCATGACCAAATAATCCAGAACATAGAGTAAAAAAATTATATTTTTCATCTCAATAATTTTTTTTTTAAAATCACCTCAATTAGAAAAAAATAAACAATCAAAGTAAAATACACACACACACACTACATAAAAAAATATATATATATAACATTGCAATACACTTTCATTAAAAAGAAAAAAGAAATCTCTAATGTTCAATTCTGACAATATGTCCAAAACATGTAGAAAATAAAATAAAAATTAATTAAGCAACGAATATATAAAATTTAATTACTAATTAATCTATTTTTATTAAGATTTTAATTAAAAAGCAATCCTTTTCCATAGAAAATTGGAAGAAACGATGAAAAAGAAACGAAAAATCTTGTAAGACTTTTTATTTTTTGATTTTTAATTTTTTCATAGAAAAGGAGAATATGATAGAAAAAAGAGAGAGGAAAAAAAGGAAATGAAAATAATAATAAGAACAATTTGAAGATGAAAAATATTAATTTTTGGTAGCATGGCCCTAGGTAGTAGAATGATAAGGAAAAGAGAAATATTGTAGCTTGAAAGGCATTTTTCCCTTTTTCCCCCTCTTTTGTTTTCTTTTGGAAGTTTTTCAAAATCTTGAGGATAAACTATATATGCGAATTCTCCATATGCTATTGATATGGGGGTATACACCTTGGGCTAGGAACAATTGTAAACATAAAGCCTTATTGACTTTATGAAAGTTAGACCGACCAACGTGCATGGCTTCCTACTGAGTTTGAGCGAGGGTCTTTCATAGATTGGAACAAGTACTATGATGCAACCCGCCTACGAATTAGGTGATATTTTTCACAATTTTATAAATAATATGAGAAACTTTTATTTTTGTGTTTCTACATTCCGCATAAAAGTTAGTGTTTGAGGGATTTATAAAAATTGTTGAATTTTAAATATCCGTGACTTTTTGAGATTGATTTAATGTCCCAAAACTTTTTGAAAAGTCTATAATACTCAAAACTTTTATAGAATCTTAAAATGCCTTGAAAAAATGAACCTAATTTTTTAAATTAAAATCGTTAAAAAATTTTAAATATCCAGATTGAATACAGCTCAACTTTTATATGAACTCGTAAGGACCTGCACCACACGGGCCCTGTAAAACCCAACTTGTAATTACTGGACAGATTTTCATGCAAGAGGCCCATAAATTTTTGTGCAATTCAACTTTTGGATCCTTCAGTTCTATAATTAATTCCTTTGTTGTTGGGAACTCATTTGGACAAATTCATCTTTCAAATCACATAGGACTCACGATTTTTATGAATTTTCAACCACATATTTTATTAAATTTTCAATTATACTACACATCCAAGCTCAAAACTAGACTCAAATTTAGATAGGACATGTATCGATGCACGATTGGACAGTTTGAAAAATTAAAACAAAAATACCGAATCATTTTCTGACACATCAATCTGTCTTTTTCCTCCCTGTTTTTAAATCTGGACAAGTAGCTTTATTCTTAATTTTTATCCAAATCTATTAAACATATATTTTTTAGCTAAATCAAACAAATGTTATCTGGTAAAAAAATGTCTAGTAAGATTAATTTAATTAGATTATTTGAAATTTCATTGGTGGCATCTCAAGTGCCGGCCTTGTAATCACAAATCCGTAGTGAACTTGAACACTCCCATCTATTACAATTGCAAATATCTTAGAGAATTGAAACACAAGTATTAAATAACATTAGAACACCTTCAGCTCTATTTTAGCAATTAAACCTAAATTGTGCGTCGTTCCCAACCCATTTAATAGTTAATACATTTTGTGCATGTGAAAATTGGATGGTATTTTTATTATCAAATCGAAAATTTGCTAGCTAAGTGAAGGGTACATAAAGGATTCGTTTGATAGGCCTTTTGAAGTCAAAGGCTACTTTTGAAATTAAGTAGAACATGTCTGAATAATTTTTTAAAAATATTTTGTCTGAATAAAAGGGTTTTTTAAAGAAAGTTGTTCGAAAGTTGTTGACCACCGACCTCCGATCTCATGTCTATTGCTCGCAAGCCCCACCTCATATGCATTCCAGTTTGGCCACAGAAGTCCAGCTCGGTCTCAATGCCGCCGTAATCCCCAAAGAATATAATGATTATAGATCCCTTACATCCTATCATATCATCCTATCAATCACATACACTTGTAATAGATGACGTCAGGACCGCCCGAGCCCACCAATCAACCACATTGGTTCCCCTATCTTTGGCAGGCCATCATTACCCGAAGGAAACATTGGCATGATGTCTACCGACCTCATCCACCAATTGAAAGAAAGATCGGCGATGCGTTGTTTGAGCTCGACACTGTAGCTGACTTAATTGATATGAAATAATTTCAGCTGAGACCTTCTATAAATAGCAGAAAATGGTCCCTTTCCGGGGAGGGGGCTTCCATACACATGCTTGGAGCAACTTAACTCTTGATAATCAACACAAAACATACAATCTCACCTTTTACCATCAATAAAAAAGGGTCTTTTTTTTGAAAAGTTGGCTCAAGAATAGTCCCTACAATTTTTTACGTCAACAAAAGTTATTAGCAAAAATGGGCTCGAATCCCAATTGCAAAAAGTTGCGTGTTTATATATTGCTTATTGTTTTGCTTGCTATTGTTGCCTTCTATTTGTGATTAATGAATAATGTCCTTTGAAGTCGATTGATAAGATCATCATAGATTTATGATTTATCAACTATATGACATTTTCCTTTCAATATTTAGTGAAAAAGGCACACATACATGGTATTATTCTAGTGTTTCTTAGTGGCTAATGAATAATAATTTAAAGAGTTGGATACCCTTTCGAGGAATCGATGTATTTGAATTTATGAAATCGTCATTTGCGAAGTTTCAATGTGCAAAATGGGATTTACGCCGAACTTTTATCTGTATTTAATAAGACATTAAAATATTGTTCGTTAGTCTATAATTTTGATTGACCGCTAACATCGAAGTCTATTAGTCAGCACAAATTGTGCTAACCACGATTCTTTTTTCAAACCTAATTTGAAGAAAACCCATTTAATTACTTTAGATACTGCTTGCAGTCAGTGGCGGATCCAGGAATTTTTGGCGCACGGGCTAAAATTTAAAAGTCAATATAATAAACTTGTATATTATATTAAAGTCAAATTCATTTAATTTGAAGCTGTTCCCGACGAGGTTTTGAGACATAAAATTCATCTATCACAGAATCTATATCTATCTTTTGAGCAAGGTCTCGTTCGATGAAGAGTGTCATACAATCAGCAAGAAATTCATCTTCCATTTTGTTACGAAGATCCGTCTTCACATTTTTCATTGATGAAAATGCTCGCTCGGTAGTCGCGATAGAAACAGGTAAAGTCAGTACAAGACAAATAAGTCTAGTAATCATAACATAAATCTCCGATCTTCTACTCTCAGTTAACTGTCGACATAACTCAACAAGTGTAGATACTTGAAATCGAGATTCAGTCTTCATATCTAGCTCATAGTGTCGCAACTCATATTTCAAAGTACGAATATCTTCCTTTGAAAAATCTTCAGGATAGAATTTCTCAGCAAGTGTACAAATATCGTGACTGTTAAATGATGCAAATGAATCCCTAGGATCCAACGCTGCACTAAGTGTGAGAAGTTCAACTGATGTATCATTAAATCTTATATTTAATTCCATCAATACGTAATCTATTGTTTCATTGAAAACATCAAAGTGATAATGATGCTTTATTGTAATTGGATCACGAGAACGGCAAGGACCAACCTTATATATACTTTCTAGATCGGGTATCTCAATATCATGTTTTGAGCAAAACTTTTTCACTTCCTCAAGAAATTCTTCCCAATCATCATCTCTTAATTTGTGGAGGAGTTTTGTTGTAGTCGAAACGAATCTCATAGCGGTCAGAATGTCTTGAGATTTCCTTTGAAGGGCTTGACAAAGAACATCGGTTATTCTCATAATGGTATGCATTAAATGCAAACTAAACACGAAATCAAAACTTTTCATATGTTTGTAAGTACCACGAACTTCACCTCGAGATTTTCCATTTGGACAATGAACACTAAGATTTTCAAACACTGCGCAAGTTGCATTATACATATTTATTAAGCTCTTTATAGAGTCATAATGCGAACTCCAACGAGTTGCTCCTAATCGTTGTAAATTACCCACTTGATTTGCTCCACTTCCAGACTCACGCTCCCCGATAGCTAACATATGCTCAATTTCAATTCTTTGAGCAGATTGTAACTCCATAACACGCTTAGGGGAAGAAGTGATAATGTTGATAATATTGTCCAGATGAGAAAAGAACTCCCAAATAACATCAACTTCTTTAGCTGCATAAACCAATACCAATTGTAATCGATGAGCGAAACAGTGGACGTAATACGCATACGGACAATCTCTAAGAAATAATGCCTGAAGTCCATTCCAAGCGCCCTGCATATTACTAGCACCATCATATCCTTGGCCTCTCATTTTTGACACTTCAAGTTCATGTTGAGCAAGAACATTTACAATCTCATTTTTTAGACTTGATAATGTGGTGTCGCTGACGCTTTTGATATCAAAGTAGCGTTCCGTCAAAATACCCTGACCATTCACAAACCTCAAAATAATAGCCATTTGTTCTCTCTTAGATGCATCTTGTGCTTCATCAACAAGAATACAAAAGTATCCATCCCCAACTTCTTCACGAATCATCCTTCTTACTCTATTCGCCATTATGTGTAAGATTTCTTTTTGAATACTCGGAGCAATGTATTGGGCATTTTTTGGAGCATTTTTCAACACAACTTTATCAATTTCTGTATTTGTTTCTGCCAAAATTTTTATCATCTCAATAAAATTCCCACGATTTAATGAAGATGAAGATTCATCATGACCTCTAAAGGAACAACTTTGAAATGCTAGCCAACGTGCACTTCGAATTGAAGTCTTTAAACGTAGACGACGTTTCTCAACTTCTTCATTCGATATTGTACGTATCACTTTATCAATATGTTGAGACGGTTTCATTAAATCTTTAGCTCTTCTCTCACACATATTATGTTCCGATGATCGTAAATGAGTAAGAAATACACATTTTGCTCCGTCATTAACCCTCTTCCACTTGTTATATCCAGAAGTTACCAATGCCGAACAATTGGACGGATTTCCATCATTCCGGAAAAGATAACAATAAAAGCAATATACTCTATCTGTTGTAGGTGAATATTCTAACCAAGGAAACTGGTTGAACCATTTTGCCTGAGAGCGACGAGATTGAGATTTTCCTNGTTCCCTTGTAAGTACTTCTTCTTCTAAACAGTCCACCTTGTTGACTTCTCGGCCAATGCTTTGTTCTAACTCGAATACTGCACATTTGTCTTTCAGCGCTCTTAGGGTTGCCTCTTCTTTCGTTTTGTCCTTGCATTCTTTATTGAAAGCCATTAATCTGGCTTTGAAGGCCTGAATATCGGCTATTTGCTTTTGTAGCTTAGAATCCATTCAAGACTCATTGATTATTCTTTTGCTAATTACTAGCTCTTCTAAGATCACTATATTTGGTCTCATTTGGCTGAACATTTCAGTGAGTGCATCCACTGAAAATGGCTCTTCACTCTGTGCGACGATCTGAGTCTCTTCCCCATTTTGGACTACCCTGACAGGTCCATAGTTTCCTTCGTACATAAACCTTTCCACTGAGTTTGCTTCTGCGACAAACGGCCTATGATCGGCCTGCACCACCCCTGCTTCACCCTTGTTGTTCCAAAAGACCAGGCATTGATGGGGTGATGAGGGTATGCAGCGACTTTCGTGTATCCAATCTCTTCCTAGTAATACATTGTAACTAGTAGGACCATCTATTACAAAAAAAACTGTGGTCCTAGTAGTTGTCCCTATAGTTATGTCCAATGGCATAACTCCCTTAACTGAAGTTGCTCTTCCATTGAAACTTGTAAGGATGACTTCTGTTAGAATCATGTCACCCTCTGTCTTTGCAAATTTCCTCATCACCCTAGATGGAATGGTATTTATAGCTGCTCCATTGTCAACAAGCACTTTTACCACAGGGATGCCGTTAACTAGAGCTTTAACGTATAATGACCTCAAGTGTTTAGTCAATTTCATGGCTGGCCGTTTAAAAATAACCTTTTCGGCAGCTTCTATTTCCACTTCCTGCTTGTTTTCTGTCGAATTATTCCTCTATGATAAGTCGACCTGCAGCATATCGCGCTGAGCCTCTGTCTCCTGAATTTCCTCCTTACTGTTTTCTAATGCTTCCTCATCAGTTACCCAACCTATGGGAAGGGGCATTATTCTTGGAGGTGATCCATACTTTTCAGAGCGAGGCACTCTCTTCTTCCTTTTGGGCGTCCCGTACAGTATGTAGAAATCGAAAGAATGCCTAGATGGTTCTCCCAACAAGTCTACTTCGCGAACTCCCTCTCGATGTAGTTGCTTTAATAGAGTATTGTGCGATACTCCTCTCCTTCTTCTTTCTGCTTCTAGGTCGATTTCTTCTTCGATGTCTGTCATCCCGTCGTCTTCTTCATCATTGTAGGCCTCTCTAGAAGTCTGACCTTCTTCACATTCTAACACGCAAGCCTCTCCTTCGTTGTCCTCCCTTTCTTCTTCTTCTTTTTCTTTATTCTTGAATTCATTGGCCAGTAAGTAATTATTAGCCACGACAGGAGGTAACGTACCGAACTGGATAGTAAGGGGCTGATCTGGATCTTCTCCATCCCTTCTATCTCGCTCAAACTTTGATCTCCTAGAAGAAGTTTTTGTTAGCTCTTTCATTGTTTCATCTGTACCGGTTTCTTCACTATCTTTGAGAATATTTTGATTGGCTACCTTGAGTAGCTTAGGCGCTTTAGGATGTGGCACTCCCTATTGCTGCCTCATCATTCGTCCATAGTTTCGTAGGAAACGCCTTTGTTGGGTTCTAGTCATCTCATTGAAGGGTATTGACCTTCCTGCATTATACTGGAACGAATGCCATACATTTGGCCGGCGGGGTTGCGGCCTGAAGGTTCTCCCATTATCTACTGGCCTGAACTGCCTCTCAAAAGGCGGTCCTCTATAGAATGATGTACCTCGCCCTCTACCAGACTGAGTGTTTGGGAAGAAAGTAGGGCGATGGGGATGCTGCCATATCCCTGGTTTCTCCGTGTTCCCACTCACTTCTCTTTTACATCTTGCACACAGGACGTCTTCGTCCTTCTTTGACTCCTTCCCCTTGATTCGTTCAAAGACACTGGGATGTGGTCCAGGGTCCTCTTCTCCATCATCTATGATCAACTTGAATTTTGGCAACTTATTTTTGAAACCAGACGTTACCATGTTCACTCCAAGTGGCTGTGGAAAAGGATTTTCATCCACTGTCATCTTCTTCTTATCGTCAAACGTAATTCGTCCTGATTCAATGGCATCCTGCAATACATGATGAAAAACCAAGCAATTGTTAGTCAAATGTGACCATGCATTATGCCACTTACAATATTTGTTACCCTTAATTTGTTCAGGGTTTGGCAATTTATACTTATCGCTCAGCTTTATCTGCTTATCCCTATATAACTTATCAAATATAAGGTCAGCCTTGGTTACATCGAACGAGAACGTTCTAGCCTTTATGTTTCCATCTTTCATGGGCTCATCCTTACCCGATGGTCTAGGCTTAGCCATTATAGGACAAGTATACGTGTCTCCTTTGACCAATTCGACCAAACACATTTCGGCTTGATCGTATGACTCGTCGCTGATGGTATGAACGTCAAAATTTGGGTCTTTGTAATAAGTTCCTTTACTAGAATTTTTCATCTGCTCTTTTTCTCTTATCAGTCATTTATACTTAATCACATTCGTACTCAATTGAAAAAGGTCAGGAAATTCCTTGTCTTGGAATTTCTTTTTTAAATCAAAGCTCAAGCAACCCTGAGCGATTTTGACAAATTCTTTTTCGGGCAGAGGTACAAAACACTTGCTTCTTCCTGTCTTGAACCTTTGGAGAAAACTTTCTGCCCATTCGTTTGGCATTTGATGTAGATTCGCCAAATCAGCCAAAGTAACTTCAGACTCAGTTTTATAAAACTGAGCGTGGAATAATTGTTCCAATTGTTGCCATGTTTAAACAGAGTTCGCTGGTAAGTTGATGAACCAGGAGAAAGCTACTCCTGTTAATGAACTAGGGAAAAACCTCATTTTATGGTAATCAGTTACATCATCACTTTGCAATGTGAATCGCCCTATGTGTTCTAAAGTAGACACCTCACCTAAACCGGTAAACAGTGGGAATTTTGGCACTTTATATCCTCTAGGCCATGGATATGCTTGGTCTACCCAATCAGGATATGGCTTTGTGTAAGTCGGCCTACTGACAGGACGCACCCCAAAAGCCATCTGATCCTGTACGATTTCCATAATCTGATTCCTCAACATGACGTTGGGGTCATATGGAATTCCTACATGTTGGTTAACCGGTTGATTTGCATGAGGCTTGATGTTTGGTCCTTGATTGGCAACAAAGTTACCATGATTTGGGTCATTACCATTAGCCTGAACATCTATTCTCTCATTAACACGTGGGGTATTCTGTCCATTGTTTAGGACATTATCTCTTACATTTGAATTACCCCCCAAGTTAGGCGCACCACTACCATTGTTCTGATTTGGCACTGTACCACTCCCTTGGTTTAAAGTAGAGGGACCAGAAAGTAGTTCTATCCCTTAATTCGAATTTAGGACCGAGGGATTATGTCCCACAATTGTCCTAGTTTGAAAGTGGTTTGCAAGAGGCAGAACCGGTTGACATATTTGGCCTACTAACTTATTCATTATTTCGTTCAAAGTGTTTAGTTGTTTGGCCATGTTGTCATAATGTGCATTCCCATTTTGGGTAAATCTTTCCATATTATGAATATTTCGAAGATTTACCTGTTCAACGACATCTTGTGTGAGTTCTCCAAGTAGTGCACGCATAGTTCGAGGACTCAACTCTGTCATTGGTTCGTAACGACTGTTACTGCTCTGATTCTGTCCATCTGTTCGTGGAGAGGCATACTGTTCCTCATATCATTCGATCACAGACTGGACACCTCCCTGACTTGCTGCTTCCTTATCGGATTTCTGAGGCATATTGTTTCACCTTTTGTATTTTCAACACCAAATACCACTGTCCCACTGGGCATGCCAAATTGTTTCGCTCGGGTTAGTCGCTAACAATTAAAAAGGGATCAGACGATTGTGTAAGGGACAAATCTCTTGAGACAAAGTCCCAAAAAGGGGCGTTTTTTATTGGCGATAACTTTACAATCGGAAAGTAAAAACAGAATGCCTCCAAGGGGCGCAAACACACGAGTTACTGTGAAAGAAGTGCTTAAATCTAAACTAAGAAATTTAAAGTTACATGTTCTTTGTTTGAGAGTTTTTGATTCGGGTCTTTTGCTCTATGTCTTTTCTTCCTTTTATACTCCCTGGATGATCTCTTTGTGATCAACCGCCTAAAAACCGCTTGATCGTTCTATAACTGCCAACTTTCCTCGTAATGGTCAACTTGTCATGGAACTGCCTTTTCTAACTGCTGCTATTACTCTTTGTCATTCAACCGTCTTCAATTGAATTCCTTGAATCGTGGAACGGATAGGGTTGCTTAATAACTGCTTTGATAACTGCGCTTCTTGATAACCATAACACTTCATGTTTGCTAAGACTTTGGGCGACTCGAAGGTTTGGACGAGAATAGAGTAGCAGCTCTGGGCGACTGCATGACATTCCATTCGCTCAGATCTTGGGCGACTTGCAAGTTTTGGTGATGGTGTTACCGCATTCATGGGCCTCCCTACTTGGGCCTTCATCCTGAATTGTCTGATTGGGCTTCGTTCTTTGGGCTATCTAATTTGGGGATCCTCCAATCGGACTTCATTCCTTGGGATCGTTCGATTTGGGCTGAATTTTTATATGTCAACAGTCTTTTAAGACGTTAAGAAAAAAATTACTTGATGTTTATTTGTAAAATCTCGTGTAGAATATTTTGTTTGCTATTAGCATGAGGTGTTAGTCAATAATTTAATAAACTTGTAATTTTCCGATAATTTTGGATTCAGAATTGTTACGAGGTGTAATAAATTTGAACTTTTAAATTCTTTTCAGAAACTTTCCAAGTGATCGAATTTTGTAGATTTAGTCCATGTTTAGTGTCGCTTAAAAAGTTGATAAAAATCAAAATCAACAATTAATTTTAATCACATATTTCATTGGATCCATAATTTTTATTATTTTTTCAACAACAAATTTAATTAACTTTTACCAAAATCTACTAAAAATCTTATTTTTAGCTACATCAACATATGGCTTGATGAACTTTTACGAAATCATCGAAAGTCTTTCATAGGCTTCTATAAACTTTCATTTAAAGACTTATATAGATTTTTATAGAATCAATTTGACTTTTTAAGACTTTCTTGATTTTACTACACATAATTATTTTATTGAATTATGTAGGTATGCATTACGTTATCGTAATATTCTCAATCGCTATGTGCATGACCAAATAATCCAGAACATAGAGTAAAAAAATTATATTTTTCATCTCAATAATTGTTTTTTAAAATCACCTCAATTAGAAAAAAATAAACAATCAAAGTAAAATACACACACACACACTACATAAAAAAAAATATAACATTGCAATACACTTTCATTAAAAAGAAAAAAGAAATCTCTAATGTTCAATTCTGACAGTATGTCCAAAACATGTAGAAAATAAAATAAAAATTAATTAAGCAACGAATATATAAAATTTAATTACTAATTAATCTATTTTTATTCAGATTTTAATTAAAAAGCAATCCTTTTCCATAGAAAATTGGAAGAAACGATGAAAAAGAAGCGAAAAATCTTGTAAGACTTTTTATTTTTTTATTTTTAATTTTTTCATAGAAAAGGAGAATATGATAGAAAAAAGAGAGAGGAAAAAAAGGAAATGAAAATAATACTAAGAACAATTTGAAGATGAAAAATATTAATTTTTGGTAGCATGGCCCTAGGTAGTAGAATGATAAGGAAAAGAGAAATATTGTAGCTTGAAAGGCATTTTTCCCTTTTTCCCCCTCTTTTGTTTTCTTTTGGAAGTTTTTCAAAATCTTGAGGATAAACTATATATGCGAATTCTCCATATGCTATTGATATGGGGGTATACACCTTGGGCTAGGAACAATGGTAAACATAAAGCCTTATTGACTTTACGAAAGTTAGACCGACCAACGTGCATGGCTTCCTACTGCGTTCGAGCGAGGGTCTTTCATAGATTGGAACAAATACTATGATGCAACCCGCCTACGAATTAAGTGACATTTTTCACAATTTTATAAATAATATGAGAAACTTTTATTTTTGTGTTTCTACATTCCGCATAAAAGTTAGTGTTTGAGGGATTTATAAAAATTATTGAATTTTAAATATCCGTGACTTTTTGAGATTGATTTAATGTCCCAAAACTTTTTGAAAAGTCTATAATACTCAAAACTTTTATAGAATCTTAAAATGCCTTGAAAAAATGAACCTAATTTTTTTAAATTAAAATCGTTAAAAAATTTTAAATATCCAGATTGAATACAGCTCAACTTTTATATGAACTCGTAAGGACCTGCACCACATGGGCCCTGTAAAACCCAACTTGTAATTACTGGACAGATTTTCATGCAAGAGGCCCATAAATTTTTGTGCAATTCAACTTTTGGATCCTTCAGTTCTATAATTAATTCCTTTGTTGTTGGGAACTCATTTGGACAAATTCATCTTTCAAATCACATAGGACTCACGATTTTTATGAATTTTCAACCACATATTTTATTAAATTTTCAATTATACTACACATCCAAGCTCAAAACTAGACTCAAATTTAGATAGGACATGTATCGATGCACGATTGGACAGTTTGAAAAATTAAAACAAAAATACCGAATCATTTTCTGACACATCAATCTGTCTTTTTCCTCCCTGTTTTTAAATCTGGACAAGTAGCTTTATTCTTAATTTTTATCCAAATCTATTAAACATATATTTTTTAGCTAAATCAAACAAATGTTATCTGGTAAAAAAATGTCTAGTAAGATTAATTTAATTAGATTATTTGAAATTTCATTGGTGGCATCTCAAGTGCCGGCCTTGTAATCACAAATCCGTAGTGAACTTAAACACTCCCATCTATTACAATTGCAAATATCTTAGAGAATTGAAACACAAGTATTAAATAACATTAGAACACCTTCAGCTCTATTTTAGCAATTAAACCTAAATTGTGCGTCGTTCCCAACCCATTTAATAGTTAATACATTTTGTGCATGTGAAAATTGGATGGTATTTTTATTATCAAATCGAAAATTTGCTAGCTAAGTGAAGGGTACATAAAGGATTCGTTTGATAGGCCTTTTGAAGTCAAAGGCTACTTTTGAAATTAAGTAGAACATGTCTGAATAATTTTTTAAAAATATTTTGTCTGAATAAAAGGGTTTTTTAAAGAAAGTTGTTCGAAAGTTGTTGACCACCGACCTCCGATCTCATGTCTATTGCTCGCAAGCCCCACCTCATATGCATTCCAGTTTGGCCACAGAAGTCCAGCTCGGTCTCAATGCCGCCGTAATCCCCAAAGAATATAATGATTACAGATCCCTTACATCCTATCATATCATCCTATCAATCACATACACTTGTAATAGATGACATCAGGACCGCCCGAGCCCACCAATCAACCACATTGGTTCCCCTATCTTTGGCAGGCCATCATTACCCGAAAGAAACATTGGCATGATGTCTACCGACCTCATCCACCAATTGAAAGAGAGATCGGTGACGCGTCGTTCTAGCTTGACACTGTAGCTGATTTAATTGATATGACATAATTTCAGCTGAGACCTTCTATAAATAGCAGAAAATGGTCCCTTTCCGGGGAGGGGGCTTCCATACACATGCTTGGAGCAACTTAACTCTTGATAATCAACACAAAACATACAATCTCACCTTTTACCATCAATAAAAAAGGGTCTTTTTTTTGAAAAGTTGGCTCAAGAATAGTCCCTACAATTTTTTACGTCAACAAAAGTTATTAGCAAAAATGGGCTCGAATCCCAATTGCAAAAAGTTGCGTGTTTATATATTGCTTATTGTTTTGCTTGCTATTGTTGCCTTCTATTTGTGATTAATGAATAATGTCCTTTGAAGTCGATTGATAAGATCATCATAGATTTATGATTTATCAACTATATGACATTTTCCTTTCAATATTTAGTGAAAAAGGCACACATACATGGTATTATTCTAGTGTTTCTTAGTGGCTAATGAATAATAATTTAAAGAGTTGGATACCCTTTCGAGGAATCGATGTATTTGAATTTATGAAATCGTCATTTGCGAAGTTTCAATGTGCAAAATGGGATTTACGCCGAACTTTTATCTGTATTTAATAAGACATTAAAATATTGTTCGTTAGTCTATAGACATAACTCAACAAGTGTGGATACTTTAAATCGAGATTCAGCCTTCATATCTAGCTCATAATGTCGCAATTCATATTCCAAAGTACGAATATCTTGCTGAGTAAAATCTGCAGGATAGAATTTCTCAACAAGTGTACAAATGTCATGATTGTTAAATGATTCAAATGAATTTCTAGGATCCAAAGCTGCACTAAGTGTGAGAAGTTCAACTGATGTATCATTAAATCTTGTATTTAATTCTATCAGTACGTAATCTATTGCTTCATTGAAAACATCAAAGTGATAATGATGCTTCATTATAATTGGATCGCGAGAACGACAAGGACCAATTTTATACAAACTTTCTAGGTCGGGTATCTCAATATCATGTTTTGCACAATACTTTTTCACTTCCCCAAGAAATTCTTCCTAATCATCATCTCTTAATTTGTTAAGGAGTTTTGTTGTGGTAGAAACAAATCTCATAACAGTCAAGATGTCTTGCGATTTTCTTTGAAGAGTCTAACAAAGAACATCGGTTATTCTCATGATGGTATGCATTAAATGCAAACTGAACACAAAATCAAAACTTTTCATATATTTGTAAGTGCCAGGAAGTTTGCCCGAGATCTTCGATTTGGACAATGAACACTAAGATCTTCAAATACCTTGCAAGTTGCATTATACATATCTATCAAGCTCTTTATAGAGTCATAATGAGAGCTCCAACGAGTTGCTCCTAATCATTGTAAATTACCCACTTGATTTGCTCCACTTCCTAACTCACGCTCCCCAGTAGCTAACATATGCTCAATTTCATTCCTTTGAGCAGATTGTAACTCTGTAATGCGTTTAGGGAAAGAACTGATAATATTATCTAGATGAGAAAAGAACTCCCAAATAACACCAACTTCGTTAGCTGCATAAACCAATACCAACTGTAATCGATGAGCAAAACAGTAGACATAATAAGTATACGGACAATCTCTAAGAAATAATGCCTGAAGTCCATTCCAAGCGCCCTGCATATTACTAGCACCATCATATCCTTGGCCTCTCATTTTTGACACTTCAAGTTCATGTTGAGCAAGAACATTTACAATCTCATTTTTTAGACTTGATGATGTGGTGTCGCTGACGCTTTTGATATCAAAGTAGCGTTCCGTCAAAATACCCTGACCATTCACAAACCTCAAAATAATAGCCATTTGTTCTCTCTTAGATGCATCTTGTGCTTCATCAACAAGAATACAAAAGTATCCATCCCCAACTTCTTCACGAATCATCCTTCTTACTCTATTCGCCATTATGTGTAAGATTTCTTTTTGAATACTCGGAGCAATGTATTGGGCATTTTTTGGAGCATTTTTCAACACAACTTTATCAATTTATGTATTTGTTTCTGCCAAAATTTTTATCATCTCAATAAAATTCCCACGATTTAATGAAGATGAAGATTCATCATGACCTCTAAAGGAACAACTTTGAAATGCTAGCCAACGTGCACTTCGAATTGAAGTCTTTAAACGTAGACGACGTTTCTCAACTTCTTCATTCGATATTGTACGTATCACTTTATCAATATGTTGAGACGGTTTCATTAAATCTTTAGCTCTTCTCTCACACATATTATGTTCCGATTATCGTAAATGAGTAAGAAATACACATTTTGCTCCGTCATTAACCCTCTTCCACTTGTTATATCCAGAAGTTACCAATGCCGAACAATTGGACGGATTTCCATCATTCTGGAAAAGATAACAATAAAAGAAATACACTCTATCTGTTGTAGGTGAATATTCTAACCAAGGAAACTGGTTGAACCATTTTGCCTGAAAGCAACGAAACTGAGATTTTCCTCGTGTCTTACGATAATCAACAAGTCTTGGTTGATAAGGTCCAGCCTTTAGATATGCCACTCTAATCTCATCCCCCAGATTAGAAGGAAATTCTAGTATTTGCTTTCTTTTTCCTGGTTCTCGTTCAATGCTAATATTTGAGGATGAATGATGTTCAACTTCCGAAGGAAATGAAGGTAGATCTTCAGTTAGTCCCTCAGAAGTTGTACTTTCAGCAGGTCGTCCAGCCCTTTGGAAGAATGAAAACAAGTTCTTATTCTTCTTGAGAGGAGGTTGACCTTCCATTTTCAATTCTTACAATTGCAAAAAAAAGGTAAAAAAGAAAAAATCAATCATCAATGATATTATTCTAGCGACAATAAAAAAATAATTCACTAAGTTGATAAGGCAACAACAACAATTATTAAACCAACAAGACAACAACAAAAATCATTAAGCCGACAAGGCAACATGCCAACAAGGCAAAAACAAGTCATTAAACCGACAAGGCAACATTTCAACAATAATTAATTAAATAATTCAATAATTTGCCGACAAGGCCCCAAGTGGAGAGACGAGAGCATTTACTTACAAGTGACGAGGGAGTATATTAAGTTCTTGCAATTTGCTTTTCCTACATGTTCGTTGGACCGGGACTACGTCTAAGCCTTGATAATGATAAGTTTACTGCATTTTTGAAATCGAAAAATAATTCAATTAAGCATGTTGCCAATCGAAATCTAAGAAAACTTCAATTTTTAAAAAATTCATACTCAATAATCAATATAATATTAATGACAAATATATATAAAAAATGGTCCAAGTTATAAAATCTAAGTTACTACCGTACAATTATACATTTTTTTTTAATATTTTTTATTTACTTTACAATTATTGCAATTGTTTCATTTTTGTATTTTGTGAAAATCAATCAAAATAATTTAAACAATATAAAAATAATGACTTAAAAAGATAGACATGAGATGAGATAATATCTATAATCTACTATTCTATTTGTGCTTTAAACCATATGCCACAAACAGACAAAGTGACAAACAATTCCCATTATTTAATTAATTAACTTTTAACTTTATCAAAATCTTCCCATCCATGTGTCAACAATCCATATAAAATTATAAATTAAAAGGGTCACTCTTCTTCTTTTTAGTTTCTAACTTCCAGCAGCATTCGGGCCTCCTGTTTCGGTGTTTCCGATTTTCATTTTCATTTCCGTTTCTTGTTTTCAGATTTTAGATTTTCTAATCCTATTATTATCCTATACAACTATGGTCTATAAACTCTACATAATACAAACCATAAATCCATAATAGCCATTCAGAGAGAGGCTCACAGGAGAAATGGAGAACAGCAGTGGCGTGACTGGCGTCGACGGACTGACGATTTGGACTCCTACACGGCGAACTGACGGTTCTTCGCAGCACGCCGGCACCTACTAGAAGGTATTAGGCTATGAAATCTTTGATTAGGGTAATGAGTTCCTTAATTTTTTATAGAATTTTTGGATTGAAAATTTGAAAAAAAAGGTTGGAGAGGAATCATTTTGGACCAGTGGACCTGTTGTTGGAGAATGTTGGATTAGAATTAAATTTGCTTTGTGCTTGGTTTTAGTTTTGGGTTTAAATGGAAAAAAAATTTATGTTTTGTTTGGGCCAATAAATTGAAGTTGGGTCAGTTGCTCCTTTTGTTGCAATTGGGTTTACACCACACGGGCTGATTTTCAATTTTACATGGGATGAAAAAAAAAAAAAATTGACTGCATCTGGGCTTGGCCCGTGCTAGCCCGGGCCTGGATCCGCCTGTGCTTGCAGTTAGCATTAAATAATTGAGTTGTTGGGGAATTTACAAAGTACTTTAAATGAAAAAAATAAACCAAGTCGGCCACGGACAGCTTCGCGAGAATGATTGAGCCGACCTGCTACCAGAATGTCGTATAAAATATAGATAAAGTGTTTATTCACGTAGTCATTAGACAACAAACCAGATTTTCATGCTTTCAACTTTGGCTCGCTAATAGAATTTGGTGCTACCACTCGCCACCTATGAACCCTATCCCTAACTTAGTCAAATTCAAATGTTGATCTCAACTTAATATTTGATAGTGAAGAAGAGAGACGTGTGATGAAAGAAATAAATGTGTATATTCCTCGAATTATTTGATAACAATTGAGTAACATTTTTTGTAATAAAGATTGACTTCTAACACAGACATGAGCTTATTTAAAACAAATCATTGACGTTAGTAAAATAAAATAAACTCTCACTATACAAGAAACAATCAAACTTAATCACAACATATTGGACATCGTATAAGTCCATTTTCATTACAATCGTGGCACCGATGAAAGCCATGTTCGTTCTTACTCTCGCCGTGTTCTTCATAGTTGTAATCATCCTCATGATAGATTTTACAACTCCCTGAACATGTTTCACATGGCACAAATCGAACATCTCCACATGCTTCACAAACTCCACCACTGTATCCTCCACCTTCACCACCATCGCCCACGAGTTGACAACTTTTGACCACTTTCTCAAGCTTTCCATCCTCATTCAGCCGGCGTATTTCCTCAGCCCCGCCAATGTGTTTTCTCCCCAAGAAAACTCGCGGCAGGCCACCAGCATTGAATCCTTCTCCCAATAAGTCCTTCAACTCTTCCTTGAACCCAGAATGCATTGATACATCCCTCTCATCAACCTTAACACCTAACCCTTTAAGAATCACTCTAACATGACAACAATCCTCGTACGTCTTCCTCACCCCTCTTAGGCTTGTGAAATACACTATCAACTTGTCTGTACCACGTGGCGCAATCTTATTCACCAAGGCCTCATCCTTGAGATAAACTGGACTGGCCAGAGGGAGATCCTCTTCGAGTGCGCTTCTGAAAGTGGCAATCACTTCAGGATCAAATTCAGAGACAATAGATGCATCATTCGAACACGAATCATTATCAGCCATTTCGAGCCACAAAGGCTTAGGCGACGCTTCGCCATTTTCTTTCGCTCTAGGCGTTGGTTGCTCGTCTAGAGAAGATAAACTTGGATTCTGAGATGCATGAAAGGAAAAGCCACGAAGATGACGTGAAGGTCTAAGAGGACTAATGTCATCAAGACCCTCCATCAACTCCCAAACATTGATCAATTCTGGCTCGCCGGGAGGCGTCCAAATGGGCGTTATGGGAACAATCTTTGGGATTTTCTCGTTGGTCATTTTAGACCAAGTCTTGGCCTCGATCATTCCCATTGCGAAGTCCTCTTTCACCACCTTTGCTTTATCGATTTCCTTATTTTCAACCGGAGTTTCTACGATGGAACAATGATTCTGAATCAACAGATCCTTGTAATCAATACTAGGACTTTGAGTCAATGGATCATCTAGCTTCAAAGAACCTAAAGTGGAGGAAGTAAGAGCCACCAAGTGGTAGCTATCCACTGTTTCTTGAGGCAGGTGGTGTACGTGCATTGAGTAGCTCCGCCTGACCGGAGAATAAGGTCCCTGACAATTCTGGCACACTTTTTCCTTCGAAGATGCACAGCCCATTTTCACAAAAAGCAGAACCCAACCCAAAAATCAAATTTGATTGAAAGCGAAAGGCTTCTATAGAAAATTGGATTGTTAAAAGAACTAAAATCTTGGGGAATGGATTAGAGAATCCCCATATGAATGAGCTGGGTCTTTAGAGGACTGGGTAGATATTCCAAGGTTTTAAAATGAATATCGAGAAATAAAATATTAAGGCAACTGGGATTTTTGAGACTCGTTTACAAAGATTTAGGAACAAAATACTAATAATGATGTTTCTATTTTCTGAAAAACAAGGTACGGAGTGATCTATTCATAGGAATACTCAAAACTGACGCTTATGAAATCTTCCTGACAAACAAGAACACCAAATAGAGCGCTTGTTGCAACACGACAAGAAATCTAAAAGAAACGACAATAATTGAACAAAAACAGAAGACCCGGAATAGATCTGAGTTGAAAATTTCAGAGTCAAAACAAGAAGAAAGAACCTTTGACAGTTTCTCACTTTCTCCCTCGGCTTTCCTCAAAATTTTTCTCTCTCTAAAAGGCGGAAAATGGAAGTCACAATGACCAAAACGAGAGAGAGAGAGAGAGAGAGAGGGCCAGAAAGACAGTGGAAGGAAGGTTCATACAATGCGAGAATTATTGCTTGAATGGATCACACCCCGCAAGATCTATGCCAGAGTTCCCACAAATAACGATTCGGCCTGCTTAATTCTCTTTGCAATAAATAGCCTAAAAATGGGAGGCCAAAAAAATAAAGTCGGACCGAGACTACGTAATTTCAATGATAAAATTATAATGCAAACTGAACTGTCAAGATGAATAAGATAGATAGAAAAATATTGTGACATTTGAGAATTAATTAAAGGAAGTGAGAGTGATTGAATCATGTTCTGCGTAGACTTAAAAGGCTTTCACTTGTAAAAGTAAGTGTCTTATAAAATTAGACTTTCAAGTAGCTTTAACTTATTGTTGCTAAGTATCTAGTTAAATATTCCGATAAATTTAACTTCAATTCTTCTGTCCTCATGACTCAAATTACACAAATCCCTTGCCTATATTCTATCCAATAATGACATTATGAAGACTTTAGTTGATTGGCCTGTTTCCAAAGCTAAACTTGGTCACGGATATGATTACATTGACAACTTGTTTTGAAATTTACAAAGAGTGGCGCTTTTGGTTGTGTTACACTTGCTTTCTTTCACTTCTTTAACTGTATATTTAGCTTCAAACTTATCAAAATCAAATAAAATGTTGAGTAGAAACCTTTCAATATATTTGATTGTTTTGTGTATAAGAAAATCTTCGAATGTAATATTTATCGGAGATTTTGTATTGCTTTGATCTTTTTTCCTTTCGAAAACATACATGAATGAAGTTATTAGCTATTGATAATTGATACCATTTACCCTCTTGAGGAGAGGTTTTGTTTCAAATTCCTATCAGAATAGAAGGGGTTCATCACAGATATTGTGGTCGTATGCATAGCTCCACTAGACCAAAACAAGATAAAAATGGCTTCTTACTCACCACATCCTCTGTCTGGCCCAAGACATTCTTCCATTGTATTATTTATGTGAGAGAACACATTTTCCTCAATATATAAAGTGAGAAGGCAAGAAAAGTGACACAATACTAGAGAAATTTGAACGGGGTTAGTTCATTCTCGCTCATATATCCGTCAAAAAGATAATATTAAACTTTTAATAGGTAAAATTGATTATTTTTATAACATATAGTGTGTCTATTTTTCACCATATAAGAAGTCTAAACAATTTAAAAGTAGTGTACAAATATATAATCATGTTACAAAATCGTATTTTCTCATCAAGAAGTCGTTCAAGTTTACTAAACAAGATTGTATTTTCCATTTCATAACATAGGGATTCTCGAAGTAATCATTTTAATGGTATACATTAGACAGTTTGGTTTTTTTACAGCGTTGACGGCAGGTGCATCAAAATGCTAGGGATTGGTGGGGAGTACTGCTTCCTTTAATTTTATATTTTCATGGTTTGCAAGCAAGCAAAAATATTTATGACCATCCATGTGCTGCCTAGCTAGTGGACACAAAATGTACAACTAGTATGATTGATATCAACTTAGTATTGTGACATACTCGTAACATCACTTCTGTAAACTATGATAGGTACGAGAAATAAGTATGTTACGATTTCATGGTCGAGTAGGGGGAGGACCATTTTTTTTTTTTTTATTGCACTGTGCTTATACATAGAATAAATAAATTCCATATTATTAATGGGCTTGGGCAGATAAATGGGGAAATTTTCTAGTCCATTGGGCACTAAGGTGCCTTGTGTATGAGAGGGAAGTGGTCAAGTGAGCCCATTTAATGAACTTGATCAACAAAGCCTAGGAAATTGGCATAAATAACACTAGATGGAGCTAAAAACTACAATTAGCACTATATTTATATACTTTTACCCTTAGCCTACGTTTGGGTAAATTAATTGATAATTATATTTCTAAGAGCTTTTCTAGCTAGATTAACTACTTTCAGAAATTTATTCAAATAAATTTAAAGGCAACTTCTAGTTAGTCTCTAAGCAGGTTTTGACGTCTAATAACTTTTTTTCCCATCATAATTCATGCCTCTCTAATCAAAATTGATGTTAGACTTTTCTTCCTTCAAAATTTTTTTACCTTATCGGAATCAATCGTCGAGAGGTCGTATGTAATTTCTCACCTTCTTCTTCTTAAAGCTGAAGTTGATAAAATCTTATATTTAATTCACAATATCACAAGAAAGATTGAATGGATTGATGAATGGTGTCTATTGATAAAATTCTGTCAGAGCAAATTGATTGTAATAGGTTAATTGTTGATTATTCATTTAAATATGATTTTGTTGTTGTTAATAGTATTGCCTCTAACTTTTATAGAAATTTACTAAAAAAATTTATTTTTACCAAAATCAAATAGGGCTTAGTCGTGTTCATTAAGTTCAGCTACGTAATAATTGCAAGAATTTATTCTTTTGATACTTAATGTATACTTATGTATTTTAATATTTGGCTATGTCAGTATAAGGTCAAAATGCTATATATTGTTGTGAAAAGAGGGAAAGAGAAAAGCGATAATATGAGTGTATTATTAAAAACTAATGCCCTATATTAATAGGGTCCAAAATAAAAGTTGCAAATGGAATGAAATAGATCTTCTAAATTATATTAGGCTTATTTATGTATCATGATAATACTAAATAATCATCTAATTATTTTATAATACTCCCCCTTTGATGATTATTTCGATAATAACTATCTCATTGGAACATCGTTTGGCAAAAAAATTTGATGAAACAAAAATACCAACAAATCGAATAGAGTACAAATAATTTGGAAATGTTGTCGCATTAAAACCTTGTCAAGAAAATTTAGTTAGACAAAATCTGATCGAAGGAAAAAGAGTACAATTACTCCCTTAATTTCAATAATAAAAAATTCTTGTATCAAACTATTCATGTCTCATGCATCAATGTCCTCAATATTATAATTTCTGGTGAAGTATGTCTCATATTGTCTTGTATAGTCTTCATATAACACTGTTTTTACAAGAGATAATTTATCAATCTTTGATAACTGTAGTAATATGATGATTCAAAAATAGCTCATGTCGATCTCTTTGAAAGTCTCACACATATAAAGTGTTATTTTGAGGATAAATGTCTTGCATATTATAAACATTGATTACACGAAGAATATGTCTCATTAAAACCTTATTAGGAAAAAATTTGCGGGAAAAATTCTAATAAAGTAAAAGAGCACATTATTCTTTCGAATACGCTACAAAATTTATCTCATTAAAAATCTTGTCAGAAAAACCCAATGAATCAAAACCTTGGTCAAAGGAAAAAAATGTAAAACGTATTTACTCCCCCTCATAATAATATCACTTAAATTATACTTCAAACATATTAAATCCTTTAATAATAGTATTAAATTTCTATGAAAGATAAGTTGACAATAATCACATTTATTATATACATATCAAATTTCAAGCATTATCACTCTAAAAGGATAACCTGTGATTACATCCATCATATGATAATTTATCTATTTATACAAATTTTCACGACATTTATTATGTAAAGAGTCGTACATTTCATATTATGACTTTATTTTTTCCATTTCCATTTTGCATAAGTATACGTGTTTAGGTGTTCTGTAGATTCAGAAATTTCATGTTTCTCTAGTAAATTCTATTACCAGGGATTACGTTATTTTATTTAGCCGATCATTACTTCGATCGATGAAGAATTTATTTCGATATCCTCGCTATTCATAATATGATACAATACATCATATGCAAAAAGTGTTGTTGACAATTTTTTTCTTTTGGATTCTATTTCTTTCTCCATAATGACATAATTAATTGAAATATCTCAAGTTTCATTATTTCTAATACCCGGACCTCTTCTAAGGTTTTATAACTTGTTATGTCTAAATACTCATCAATAGTATGTCTCCTTGATGGGATCATCTTCATGAATTGCTCCATTTTCATTTGAAGGTTTTTTTATATTAGAATTGAATACTATCACGCTTCAAGCATGCCATAAATATATCAAATACAATGCTATTAAATTGTCCTCCTAGGACATTAATTCGTATTGTAGCATTTAAAATTGGTGTGTGAGATATTGTTGATCTATTTGGTCAATATACACATTTAAATAAATTATCTTTCTAACTTTTGGTTTTAGTGATCTTTTGCGAGGATTTAGATAATTATGTATTTGTTGTTGAGAGAATTGTCAAATCAAATTGACAATCATTTTTTCAGCGTTATAAATATCACTCATTTGGAATAATGGTTCAAACTACCCATTTATTCCCAACATTCTTTATTTTCCATTTCAATGCCTTTTGGTGGATCAATTTTTACATATACTGCACTATAAAAATAATTGAGGAAAAAATTAGGCTCTGACCATAAGTCAATTATAATAGGAAAAATTATGATTTTGACATGATACATAATAAAATTTTCCAAACAAAAATGAGAAGTACTTTGTCTTCAATTAAATTAATTGGAAGCGTTTAACAAACAATAGAATTAAACCATTTATCGACATCCCAACTAACACTTATTAAAATGTTGAGATTTATTTCCATAAGCATTGACAAGATGCATCTTGATTATATAATTTAAAAATTATGCTCATAATTTAAAATTTAAACAGTAATTTCGTAAACTTTATGTTGCAAGCATCACGTAATCCTCTAGTATATGTATTAAATTTATTAGATACAAATAATATTTAGATAGACAGTCAACGTGGAGGATGATGAGATTGTTTTCTCACAGATGATGGCTTTGATTTCTTCCCACCAATTTATTAATGGATATCGGTGCATATCCATGATGACTAGCGATTGGTGTATGCTAATATACTGTTGATCTTTGACTTTGTAACATGTGATTGAAAAAGGTCAAGGCACAACATAATAGGGCAATATTTATGACATAGACCTTCCATTGATTTAAGTTGTTGCCTCTGGTTGTTGAAGACAATCTACAAT